AAATGACATGTTTGCACCTAAATTAAATAAAAAAAGGAAAAAAATTCTCATTTTCGGGTTCCTTAATGTGATATTACATTAGAAATTCGTAACAATTCACAGAATGGATTCAATGTTCCAGATGCTAGCCTTGTCCACGTGGCATCGATGTATGATGTTATTGATTTGATGAAATTAGGGCACAAAAATCGTGCTGTAGGTGCAACTGCTCTAAATGATCGTAGTAGTCGCTCTCACAGGTTTGCTACTTTAACCAATATCCGCACAAAATTGCAATGTGCTTTCTATATATTTTTCTCTTTATATTATATTGATTAATTTAAAATTTTGATTAATTGCAGCTGTTTGACTGTACATGTCCAAGGGAGAGACGTAACATCTGGAGCTGTTCTACGTGGTTGTATGCATTTGGTTGATTTAGCAGGAAGTGAAAGAGTAGACAAATCTGAAGTGGCTGGAGACAGACTAAAAGAGGCACAGCATATCAATAAATCTCTTTCAGCATTAGGCGATGTCATTTCTTCACTTGCTCAAAAGAACGCACATGTGCCTTACAGAAACAGCAAACTCACGCAGTTACTTCAAGATTCACTTGGTAGGCTAAACAAAAGAAATCAAAACAAAACATCATATCTTTATGAATAAAGCTTTCATTCCCAAATTTAAATTATATGTAATATGGAATGTGGATGTATGCAGGAGGACAAGCAAAGACATTGATGTTTGTTCACATAAGCCCCGAATTGAATGCTGTTGGTGAAACACTTAGTACACTTAAGTTTGCTGAGCGAGTTGCAACTGTTGAACTCGGTGCTGCTCAAGTACATAAAGATACTAGTTCAGATGTGAAAGACCTCAAAGAACAGGTAAAATCACATTTTTGTTTTTTATGGAGTTTATATATTTAAATCCATATTTTCCACCTCAGATTGCAAATCTTAAGGCGGCGCTTGCAAAGAAGGAAGGGGATCAGGAACAGAAAGTATCTGGAACTCCAGGTGGCAAGCAGCTATCATCACGTTCTCCTCCTTACTTAAACGGAGACTCCTACACTGAACCCAAGCCTCGTAGAAAACCACAAACAGATGTAGTCGTACCCAGCTTTGAGGTAATCAATGAGTTGTAACGAAACACAAATTAAGATTAAAGAATCATTTTACGAATCTGAAAGTGGATGGATTTATATCTTTATAGATGGATAAAAAAAGTAGGTCGAGGCAGAAGACACAAAGCTTCGATTTGGACGAACTGTTGGCAAATTCACCTCCATGGCCTCCGGTAATAAGTAGTAGCCCTTGTGAGACGACGTATGGAGAAGAAGAAGATGATAGAGACATGATGGGGTCTGCTGACTGGGTTGATAAAGTCATGGTTAACAAGCAAGACGCAGCTGCAGCAGCAGCAAGATGTTGGGAAGCAGAAAATAACGGTGGACTTTACCCATCATATAATATCGGATTCCAAGGTGTAAATGGTTTTGAGATCGCGACTACTGATGGCGCCGATGAACATGAACTGGACGCCGCCACCAGCGACTCATCTGAGCCGGATCTTCTTTGGCAGTTCAATCATTCAAAACTCCCGATCTTGCCCAATTCCACCGTCTCAAGACTTAATAATTCCAACGGAAAATCGACAAAGAGCCCAGATCTCAGGTACTTTGTTAATTTTTTAGTAAATTTTATTCTTAACCACAGCCTCTGTTTCTAACAAGTCAAACATTCTTGTATTGTAGGTCAATGATTCCGAGACTTGGGCCGTCTCCGTCGCGGAAACCGACCGGTCAGGCTCCGGCTCCGCAGCGAGGTGGGAGGCAGGGAGCTGTCGCCGGCGCTGAAATGAAAAGGAAGGCTGGGACAAGGAAGTAGTCAAAGGGGGTAAGTAAAGTAACAGGTCCGATTTCTTTGATTTTTTTGATTTTTTTCCCCACATAGAGAGTGAGTGAGAGTGATGAGAGGGCTTAACCACGTTTTTTTTTTTTTTTTTTTTTTATTGGGCTTTGATGAACTGTTAAAGTAAAACAGTTGTTGTATATGGGGCAATTATACCAGTTGCTTGTATCTGTTTGCTACAGTGGTTTTGGACATAAAATAGAACCCTATAATTCATGCGATACTTTTCTTATCGATGTTGAAGAACCCTATAATTTGTCAATGGGAATTGGTTTGGTTTGGGATTTGTAATCAAGATGAAATCAAAACGAATCAAGAATCAAATTGAAGAAAATGGTTACATGTGCAAATTGCAATGTGGTTCGGTTTCTGTTAAAGAAAAGTTGGTGATTTTCGTTAACTTCTGGTTCTGTGCTTTATAAAAACTGTTAAGCCGATCAAACTACTAGATTATAATTTTAACAATATAAGGGATATTATATTAAAAAGTAATTAAAATATTTAATAGTTATATTGTCTCAAAAGTCAAAATTGTTAACGAAATAAATTAGAAATTTATGAGATCCTTTTATAGAATTAAACTAAGGTGGTGTCTGTTTTTTCAAAGCGAAAACGCCTGAAGTCTGCAGACCTCATCTGCAGCAGAAAAGATAGATCAAACAGCGGTAACATATGATAAGAAATATGTTTGTTTATAAGGTGTGATGTCTCTGCTCATGATGTGTTTTTAAATCGTGAGAACAGTAGATTAGAAAGTTTTCATGTGAACAATATCTTAGTATGTGTGTCTGAGATGTTAGAAAGTGTCACTAATTATTTTGTATATATATAAGTTGTGCTAACTAGTCCAAAGATTAACCAAAACAAGGTTGACCACAAAATACATTTAGGTTTTAGATTGAGGTTTTTAGTGGAACCAAAATATATAAGGTTAACAGACCATCTGATCCAGTGTTTAATAAAACATAAGGGTAACTATATGGGTTTTGAAAAGAAGAAACTTTTTTGAGGTTTTAGATTGAGATTTTTAGTGGAACCAAATATATAAGATATATAAGGTTAACGGACCATCTGAGGATGTTATCTTCAATGTTTAATAAAACAAAAGGCTAACTATATGGGTTTTGAAATGGAAAAACTTTTTTGAGCTAGTGTCCCTGATGATTGAAAAGATTTTTTTTTTTTTTTTTTTTTTTTTTTTTTTTTTTTTTTTTTGAAGTTATTGTCATGGCTACTATATGGTTTTTGTGGAGGTATTGGAATGTGGTGATGTTGGACAAAAATTAATTCCTGAAAAGTACTGTCTTTGAAAAAATTGTGCTCAACTCTTATGATTGGATTAAGATTAGGTACAAGAAAAATAATATAGTCCGGACTATGTGGTCAAAAAATCCGCGTTATGTAATTTCTTCTGTTTTGTTTTTTTTACTAGTTACTTGCTAGCTTTTAATATAAAGCATTTGAGCCGTTCAAAAAAAAAAAAAACAAAAAAAAAAACAAAAACGAAAAAAAAAAAGGCTATGCCATGGTTTCAACTTTACTTTGACAATTTCACTGCTTTATTTTTGCCAATTAACAAGAATATATTTTGTTGCGCTTAATGTTCAGAATGATTTACAAAGATGATCCATAAATATTGTCAATCGGATATAATTGGACCGGACCGAAAAAAATTTGAAACCCAAACTTGGGTAGAACAGAACCGAACCGAACTGGTTCTTGGGCAGGTTCAGTTGGGTTCAGATCGAAGACATCCCTAAAGAACACACTTGTTAAGCAAAACTGAACCAGAACTAGAACCGATTCCCGATTCTCCATTACTACTAAATTGGTTCTCATTTCGGTTCAAACTGATGCTCATCCCGAGCCATAGTCATTGGCATCCTTCATAAATCAAACCAAAATACTATAATTGTCTGCTATATATTTTTGGCGGTCAAAATATGCAAACTAAGATTACCCGTTATGGAGGGCATTTTTACGTGTCAAAGCCGACAAGGCGGACTTTCCCACATGTGAACATCGACCCAAAGGGGCGTAAATGTGTTGTGATTGGTTGGCTCAAAACGACCACAAAGTCGATCGTTGTTATATATCCGTTGATGTATTAAAAAGAATTATTTAATTTTTATATTTAAATCATACCACCTTTTACCTATAAATACCAAAGATTTTATACACATTTCACACCACAAACACATAAATTTCTTTCTATATCCTCATATTTTCTTCAAATTATGGATCTAAATCAAAATAACTCCAAACACCCTAAAACTCCACATGATCCATACTCACACGCTGGTATTTACATTTAAATGTTAACGTCTCCAGCTCAACAATAAGATCTATTCACCAACAATCCATACCCTCAAATTATTTCAAAAAGCCTATACCATAACAATTCAGTTATTCTTAATTCTAAGCTTTTCAACAACAACCTTCTGAACCTCAACAAATTCAAACACCACGATCTCAACCTCAAAATTTCAAGCACAACCATCTCAACCTCAAACTCAATTCTCATTTTCTCAATCTCAACCACCATTCTCGAAAAAAAAAGAATGAAAAAACGGAGGAACTCTTAACTAAAAGATAGCACTTAACGATCTAAAATTTTGAACACACAACCCCGACCAAAAAATCTAGCTATATTTTTTAAAAATCAACGCAATGTCATAAAAAATACGGCGATTAGTTTTTATGTTTTATTTTTGTGTTTTTTATTAGTAATCTAGGTTTAAATTTCTAAGTTTAAATTTTTATGTATTTTCAATTTGAAATTTAGGTTTGAATTTATAAATTTAAAATTTTAATATGTTTTTTTATTCAAATCTAATGTAAAAAAAAAAAAAAAAAAAAAAAAAAAATAACGATATTTGGTGAGCCAATAACGTTTTTTGGAGCAAAATTTCTTTACCACGAATTGGACTTGGAGTTAATTTTATGAGCATATCATACAGGCCCAAGGATTTTTGGCCCATCTAGTATTACAAAGACTCGATGTTAAATGCTAACAAAGTTAACATTTAAGACTGTTTTGTAAAAACGGTTTTAAATGAGGTCAAGACTCGAAAGTTATTTATGAGGAGGACCAAACATAAAAAATAAATTTTTTATTTTTTTCCCTCTTTAAGTTATATCAGTTGTAAAACCCTAAACCCTCTTTAATTTTTTTTCCCCCAAAAACCCAGCGGTGCAAATCAATTTTGCTTTCCGAAAAATCAGAAATTCAACAAAACGTATTGATTCCAATATGTCCAGAGAATCAAGCAGCAATGGGAATTGTGATTCCTTAGTTCAGTTCACTAATATGCGAATTGACGAAGAAGGTGGAGATGGAGATGTAGACGTAGATGAAGAAGAAGCTCCAGTCGGCTTAGGTTTTGTCGAAAAACCGGAACATGAATGGTCACTTCTGCGCCATCTATTCCCGAGCAAAGCTGGAGGAACTCCTGTATCTTCAAATTCTAATTCTTCTTCCCTCGATTAATCATTAATATTACTTGTTTGTAAAAACAATTTGAATCGAATCGTTTTATTATTGGTGATTCAGGCTTGGTTGGATCCGATTAACTTGCCTTCTGATAAATCATATTTGTGTGACATCTGTGGCGAACCTCTTCGATTCCTGCTTCAGGTATTTCTACCATTTCCCCACTCGTGTTTCTTATTCCTTCCACTACAGTTTCTAACCATTTATCTTGTTAGGCTTACGCACCTCTCACAGATAAGGAATCAACATTCCATAGAACCTTATTTGTATTCATCTGCCCCTCAATGTCATGCCTTCTCCAAGACCAACACGAGCAATGGAAACACCACCCAGACAAGGGATCTCGGAGGTATAATAATAGTATATTTTTATTCCTTACATCCAATTCTTGATATGTCAGATTGCTTTGCTTTCTTCTTGTCCAACTTTTTTTCATACTTTGTCATTGTTTGACAAGTATTAAGGTCTTTCGTTGCCAACTCCCTCGCAACAATCAGTTTTACTCCAGTGAAGCACCTAAAAACAATGGCAGTGACAAGCCTTTAGGAACATCAGGTATTAAAATTTCCTTCTGAATTCAAATTCTAATACCTTTTTTTTTTTTTTTCGTTTCAGTTGCTAATATATATAATATGTTTTTGTAGCTCCACTTTGTAGTTGGTGTGGTACATGGAAAGGAGATAAAATATGTAGCAACTGCAAAACAGCACGTTATTGTTCCAAGATACACCAGGTTCTTATCATTTCAGTATTAATCTAAAATTTAATATTTCTTTATTTCTCAAAAATTTTGTTTTGTTTGATGCAGACTATTCACTGGAGTTCAGATCATAAAGGGCAATGCAGATCATTAGAAGGATCCAAAGACACTGCACCAAAAGGCTAGTACTCTTAATTTATTTTTTCAGGGGTACATTTGTCATTTACATATTATTTATTCAAAAACAGCGGATTGGCCAGAATATGAGATCATCAATGAAGATGAATCTGAATTCAACACAGAAGAATCTACCACTAATGAAGATGGAAATCCTTTAATTACTGAATATGATCCTGAATTTGATGTAAAAATGCCAGAATTACGAAAGGCTTTACTTACTACTGATAACGAGGTATGACAAATGCTGTTATAGTTTTATATAATTTAATTCTTAAAAAAAAAACCTTTTCATTTTATTGGTTATAAAGGACGAAGGTGATACAAAGACTTGGGAATCTTTCCGCAAAAGAATAGCCCTTGCACCCGATCAGGTGTTAAGGTAATTAATCGTCCACTTTTTTTTTTTTTTATTTATTTACATTTTATAAATATGAAAAAACTATAAAAAATGAATTTCCATGTTTCACTTAATAAAAAATAAAATTTAACAGGTATTCTAGGCATGTGGACTCTAAACCATTGTGGCCAATGTTAAGTGGGCAACCATCAAGGCATGAGATACCTAAATGTACTTCTTGTGGTAGCGATCGTGCTTTTGAATTTCAGGTTTTCTTCTTTTCTTAAAATTTTTTTTTTTTTAAATTTATTGTTTATCACTTTCATGATCTCATATCATAAACATATATGTATATTTATATGAATTGGGTGTTCAGATTTTGCCACAGTTGCTATACTACATGGATGTTAAAAATGATACCAACTCCCTTGATTGGGCAACCATTGTTGTGTATACTTGTGAGGCTTCTTGTGATGGGAGTTTCGCATATCAAGAAGAATTTGCTTGGGTTCAGCTCTCATCTCAATCATCAACATAATTCTTCCTTTCAGTTTTGCTCGTATTTAATTTCATTAATACAAACAGAAACAGATGGATTCCTTCTGTTTACAGTTTGATTTTACCTTTTTTTTTTTTTTTTTTTTTGTTTATCTTTTACATTACATTTGAAGTTATAACTGCTATTTTTCTGTTACTAAAAAGTGTCGACCTTTTTATAGAATATAGAATACATATTTGGAGGATGGTCGATGATTGTCAATAGATAAGGTGATGTTTACGACATTGGTGGAAGGAATGACATCCCAAATGTGAAAAATAATATTTTTTCCGTGCACTTTCTTACTAAGTTGACACCGAATGTTATTATCCAAAGTACGAATGTCCGAATATACGTAAGTGCATGTGTTCACAATAATGGATCTCATTGGGAGTAGTGAATCTACTTTCGTATTTCGTATGTCCAACTTAAATGAATAACGAAATTAACGATATAAAATTTTTTAATTATCGGATCGGATTATCTATAAGAAGAGCAAATTGCAGAAAAGCCAAACGTATACATATATACAGAAAAACTTTTATGTTTATTTTTGTTTAAAAAACGTTTACATTATGTTTTACCATTAAAAAAAAACCCAATAATAGGTATCTAAAAAAAATGCCCGGCTAAAAAGTTGACATTGCATAAGTTTATTTTTAATAATGTGGATATTAATTACTAGGTGTAAAATCCGTGTATTACACATGTTGATTAAAAAAGTTAAATATTAAAATATAAACATTAAGTGTTCTTTTAAATAAAATTTTGAAATAAAAAAAGAAAAAAACTATTAATTACAATTATTATCATATTTATTACATTTAACACTTTGCATATATAAATATATAAGTATTATCTCACTTTTTAATTTTAAAAATTGGAAAAACCAAGAAATTGATATGTGGATATTATTTATTTCAAAAATATCATAAAATGATAATTATCAAAACTTATGAGAGATTAACATGTGGTAAAATGGATCTTCATTTATTATAGTTGATGATTTATTATAGTTGATGCTAAAATCATTTACTTAAGGGCAAACTAATGTAGGATTTTTGATTTAGGGGTGTTTGGGAGTGTGTTTCAAAAGGATTTATTGGTTTTTGAAAATCAATATGCCAAATTGAGTATTTGGATAATGAAACTACTCAAAATAGTTTTTCAACAACTCTAATAGTCTTCATGATGTCATAATTTTCTAGAAACTCCTTATGATTTAAAAAAAATCATAGTACTCTTAATGAATCTCACACTTTTTCCTTACTCTATTATTCCTTCCTTTTAGTCATTTTACAAATATATGTAATTTTGCCAATCACAAAAGTGTTTATAATTTATAAGACAATCCAAACATCAAAAAATGTTTTATTACAACATAAGCTAATATGCATTTTTACCGAAAATCATGAAAAAGAAACACAATTTAACACCCTCTTGTTCGAGCAGACGAGAGAAAGCAAATAGATGTAGGGATATATATCAACACACAACATAACAAACAAAGTGAAATCAATTGTAGGGTTTACACTCTTCTCACATCTGGTAGAGCCTAAAAATCCTACCCTACTAGAAACAACATGCATCCCCTTTTTCATTTCTTAAAAGTTTTAAGCAATGAAAGGCTAGTGTTTAAATAGTTATATTTGATGTCACTATTTAGTGGGTTTTTAGTCATTATATGTAATACATGTTTTTCATAGCATGTGTTATTATGCAAGAATGGACAAGTGTTAGTGGAAGAAAGTGATATATTACTCTAAGATGATTTTGTGGATATATAGATTGTCGCAAACCAAGTCCATATGAAGAAGTTATGACCATTTGAAGTTAGGATAAAACATGTTGCTATTATGAGAAAGTCAATGGAAGTCAAAGTCAAACGGTCAAATGTGACTCACCACGACGAGGTCTAGTACTCTCCACGGCATGGAGATGAAGTGAGATTATAGAAATTAATAGTAGCTAACGTGACTGTAAGTCTGCTAGGTCTTCTTAGTAAGTGGAATGTTTGATAACATGATTAGTGAAATTATATGTCTATTGGGTAACAGGATGTTGGTGTGCCGTTAGTGTAATGTATATATATGTGCTTGACAAAAGTAGTTTTGTTGGTTGTAAGGTAATGTATAGGTTGTATATCATTGATGGAATTATACCAAGAACGAAGTTGCATTGTAAGTCTATAGGATTGGAATTTATGGTAATCTTAGTGATTGTAATACTATTATTCGAGGAGTACAAGTCAATGGCGGATTTAGTGTTTGTAAGGCTATACTTGTAGATTATTTAGAAAGGATTAGTGGTATGTTGGGTGTTGTAATTACCACTGTGTTATGCTTGGTGTTGTAATTACCACTGTAACATCTATGGCCTTTGTGAGTATGAGGTACGTGTGAAGTACTCCAAAGCCTTTAAACCGTCCTTTTAGACATTTCAGGGCATTTTAGGTCATAGAAATGCAAGCTTGGTGTGATAACCCGAAACTTTTTCCGTTATCCTTACCCAGTTTCCGTTAATAAATTTTGGGTTTTTATTAAATTCCGTCAAATTTCTTAGTTTTGGAAAGACTTTACGTTTTAAATAAATAAATAATATGTATTTTATACGAGTTGGAATAAACCGAAAATCACGCGAAAAACTCGAAACTTGAACTTCCTCGAAAATCACCGAGTTCACGGCCAGGACATGTTTACGGTCGTGTACGATCGTAATCCCGTTTACGGTCGTGTACGACCATAAACCTGTTTACGGTCGGTGTCGGGTGGACCCCACCACCGACCAAACCCCCAGCCTATAAATAATGGACCCCACCCTCATTTGAAACTTCTTGATAGGAAACACCCACTTTCTCTCTCTAAACCTCTTGGCCGTAAACACCATAAAGCCCTCCTTTCACCCGAAAAACGCCGGAAATCGTCATTTGGGGCCGTTTGGGAGCCTATGGAACACTTTTTCGTTGAAAACAAGCACTCTTGTTCTTGAGTTTACGATCAATCTTCATAGATCGTAAACCTGTAGCAACCGTAAACTCACCAAATCTTCATAGACCGTAAGCCCATAGCGATCGTAAACTCACCAGATCTTCAAAGACCGTAAACTCAGTTTACGACCGTAAACCCTGTTCACGGTCTGTCGACCGTAAACTCTCCTCACGACCGTAAACAACTCTTTCGTGGGGAAAATCCTGTTTTCTCAATTCATCCAAGTCTCGGTAACATTCCTTAACCAAAAACAAGTGTTTATCTAACACTTTATCTAACGAAATCGCTAATTTAGATACATATATGTATTTATTTGATATTAGGATTCCGTTAAGTGCAACGTACACCAACTCAAGGATCGTCCAGTTCAATCCTTTGCATCCAACCAATTGTGAGTTCATACCCCTACGCTTTTATAAGTTTTTATAACGTTTTAACGAGGGGAATACAAGCCGAACATAAAGGTTTTCACAAGTTAAAAATTTATGCAATTACGACAAGTTTTACATCAAACATTTAGATTCTTTATCCCTTTTGTAATATGCGGAGCATAAGGGACGTTTTCTAAACATAATTGCATAGTTTTCAGAACAGTACATTAACACAACTTACTAGCCAAACTATAATAGGTATAGTTTGCGGAATTCATTACCGGTTTTACAAATTCAAACTACGTATCAAGTCAAACACATAAACTATGACAGATTTAGTTTATCCATACAGATAACAAGAGTATGTTGCTAAATAATTATTTTGTGTATAATTATTTATACTCTACACTGTTTACTAACGATTTCGAACTCGAGAACAACCGAACTACACATAAACTAGTTAATACAGGATTGTGAGACCTATCTTCGTTATGACCTTCAGGGTACCGATAAATCCTCACCTTTGGTATAACCACAGTCTCCTGGAGGGAGAGCGTGAAATTTGTGAATAGATCTATTCGGGACCGACAATCCCACACCTGAACTGTTAGCTACAGTTAGGCGGACACGCATGGGGTGACAAATTTTGTATTCATACAACGCCTGAAGAAACGTCAAGGAGGTTACCGGTCACATTAGCATGGTTATATGACTCACAATAAGTATAAACTAACCTTTGTTTATGGGATTTCTTTCTTCAATAAGTTTTATTTTAATTAATGAAACTACTTATCTACTTGTTTGAGGATATTCCAGGGACACAACCTTTAGTTTTATTTTAAGGAATAAAACTACCTTACTTACTGGTGGTAGCCAGGGTTTTCAAATGGAACATACTTTACTTAATGGTGATTGACTAGGATTTCGATACATACGATATTTTACTTATAATGGAAAGAAATCATTTGTACAAATTCAGTGACCAATTTTCAATACAAAAACATGCTTATGAACTCACCAGCTTTATGCTGATACGTTTTCAAAAACCGCTTGTATTCTCAGGGCAACGATAGACAGGTACCTTCGCCAGCTTTTGGAGAAGACAGAGCATCTTGGAGTCTCGTCTTTTTCTTTTGCTACTTTTGATATAAACAAACTATGTTTTCAAACAAATGTAAATATTCATATTGTAATGTAATGGTTGTGTTTACTTTGATTTCTATGATACGATTGTTGTGATACTACTCCTGACGTCACCCGCCCCCGAACGTTTCCGCCGTCCGTTCTGATGGTTCAGGGGTGTGACAGATTGGTATCAGAGCTATTGTTTATAGTGAACTAAGTATACCGAACCTTACATGGTATACAACTATAAACACTAAGGGGCTGGAGTGCTATGAACTAAAAGTATACTTTTAAAATATAAGTATTTTTACAAAAGTATACAAGTATACCTACATACCAGAAACAATATCATGGGTAGAAAAAAAAAACAAAAGTATTTGTATGTTGAACACTGCGGTTAAACCTAGGCAGTTATGTAATCATGTCTAGGGTCAATATAGCCTGATCAACTATATTCATTCGAGACATGAACAATATGTGCTTGGGAGTGACTGTGGTGTTGCAGCAGGCCTAAAACTTACCAAGTATCCATACAACAAGATGTCGATAGATCAAAATAGACAACTTAAAATACTATAGGAGTATCTTACTAGAGTCAAATTCATTGCAAAAATTCACTTCCAAGTGTTGCTACTCATTCCTTTTAGCGATAACTTATTTGCATTGGTAGCTTTTCCTTGTTTATCACTTAGTAGAACACTCTAGCTATCATACTGAGATATACCTTGCTTCATATCTCTTGATTC